ATCCACGGTGGCAAGAAGAGTTTAGATGTGTCATATGGGCCAAGACTTCCGATTGACTTCATCCAATGAAGGTGTCCCAACATAGCACGCATAAATTTGAAGACCATTACGAAACTATTAATGGATGCATTAATAGGGAACACTAGTCAGGACCACCAGGATGTTGCAAAGTTACTGTGTTTGTACCTAGGTGGAAAGTTATTCTTTGCCACTTTCGGGCGAGACCTTGGGATGGGGGTTTGTCCGGGTTGTTGAGGATCTATAGAACATGAAAGCATATGATTGGGCTAAAGCAATCTGCGTAACTTTGATGGAGTCAATTAAGGGATTTTACTCTAAGCCTGAGAAAGTTACTGGATGTGTAACTACCCTGCTTGTAAGTGTTCTGGTTTCTTATTTTTCCCCCATTATAATTTTGATTTTGTTTGGTAGCTTTGGTACGTGTATTTGTTTTGAATAAATTTGACAACTTATGTTTTTAACCCATGGTTACACAATTTTGGATATGTGAGCACACCAACTTGATAAAAACTGATCGTGGAGATGGATTTCCGAGGTTTATGAAATGAAATATCAGCAGGTTGGTCACAAAGATAAGAGCAGTGGACATCAATCAGCCGCATGATGTTGAAGTATGAATATGTGTACTATTAGCGTAACTATGACATGTGACAATTTTTATTTGTGATTTTTATTTTATATTTTGTTTGCAAGTTGTGGTAGGAGAGCTGCACATGAGTCATTCTAAATGGAGCATCATGAAGGCGAAAGACGTTAAGGAAATTGGAGAATGTTCGTATAGCAGTGGGGTTGGTGGGAACATGGCTCGACTATTGGAACAATTGTAGATGGCATCATTTTGGGTTCAATTGATAGTATTCGTGTCCATGGACTGGACAACGTCAAGCAAAATGTATAACATGAAAGAGATGTCAACAGAGGTGATCTTGATAGTACAACATGAAAGAGATGTCAGTGTGCGTCATGAAAGAGATGTGCAACATGAAAGAGATGTCAGTGTGCGCCTACATCTGAAGAATACCAGAAAGGATTGGTAAAAATTAGTGTGCTCGAGATAAAACTCTGCTGTAAATCTAATGTCATATTTGCTTTAGAGACACAACTGTCAACAATGAGGGCATCATACGAAGAAAAATGTAGGAAGTTAGTACATGAAATCACACTGACCAATAACCAGAAGGAATGTGACATTGAAAGGTTGAAGCAGCTAATGGATAAGCTTAATGACAAAAATGTGAAACTTGTGGAACAGTTGGAGGAGTACGCAGTGCATGAATACACCTAAGTAGCTGCTGGTGTGTAGGAGATAAAGCAAAGTAATCAGAACATGTACCATTGTGAGGCAAACATACTTGACATTATGCCATTGTCAACGTTGTCTCTATCTGATGTGAATGAGAAGACGGAATTATGAGGGGTGGATACTTATGTGACCCCAACCGACAACATTGGGCATGTGGCATGTGATGTGGATCTAATGCCTAGGATAAGTCAAAACACTGGAACAACAACTGCGTTGCGGAACTCGCTTGTGAGAAACATTAAAAATAAAAATAGGAAGGAGCACAAATTTCCAGAGTATGAATACCCATTGGTTTTGGAGAGGTTGATGAAACCATCTAATAGTGATGTGGTCTATGTGGGTGAGTGTGCCGATAAACAAATAATGCAAGATAAGATCATAGAGGTTAATGACCTTGTAGAGCCGGAGATGACATTTTCTCGGTTCGACTTGACTAATCGTTTGCCGATCTGGAAGTTGTTATCAGTGCAAGAGAAAGACAAACCTAAAGAAGCGTATGAGAAAGGGAGGGATAGGTAGGTTTCGCAACTTACTATTACCATTTTGCATTTGTACATGAATATAGTGTTCAACAAATGTCTTGTTTAACTGGTAGTGTGCAAGTCTAGACTGGGCAGAATGACTTACGAGGCAATGTAAGTATGGTATCCCTAATTATTATTCTTCAAACTTCTAAAGCTTCTTAACATGTGTACGCAATTTATGTAAATGTATACAAGGGAAGCAAAATCATAAATGTTTTATTTGTGCACGTAGGTAATTGATGCATACGCAGAAAATGCTGATGTACGAGCAGCAGATCAAGGCGTCTGCATCCACGGATGAGGAAAAATCATACATTTTCAACACGTTATGTTTGGTAAGACGTGGCCTTTGATAAATTGATTTTAGTCATTTTGTTTTTGTGCTAATGAACACAAAAATGAATGTGCGCAGCCTACGATTAGAGATGTGGGCAAAGATGTTCGTGACAGGTACTTGGCCATGTGTGCCCCTCATGCCCTCAAGGCCAGATATATTCAAATCCCAATCCACTTAGATAATCATTGGACACTAATGGTTTATGACACTAAAGAGGTGTTTTGGATGCATTACAACTCAATGAAACCAAGACGTGGGAGGGAAGACAAACATTACGGGGAAGTGTGGTTGCTGGTTAGTAAACGTGAATTAGGTAATTGCAGTGATCTTTGTATTTTATTTGGACAACAAAACTAATGACTTGGTAATATAAATTTGACAATAATGTAGAAGGGATACTTTCAGGATTACATAAAGCGTAGACTGAAGGTTGGCGCAGTTGAAACACAAGATTTGGTGAAGGAACTTTTAATGATTGATTATTGTCCACAGCAAAATGCAGACTCATAAGTGTGTGTTACGTTTCTTTGCAACATATGTCATTCATGTTTCCATACATTGCAAGTGGTCTGTTTTGACGTTGTTACTAATGTCTTAAATTTTGCTAATAAGGCTGATTGTGAAATTATAATATGCTTCATTATGAAACAACTTGTGCATTACCTAGATGTGGACAAGTCAATGGAAGGGGAGAGTTGTAAAACGATGCTAGCTGGTATGGTGAAGTCATTTGTGAATGACCGAAAAAGGTCATTTGTTGCTACCAATTGACAATTGGAACAATCTTCCAATGGTGGTAGATGGGTGCATCATTGATTTTTTTGGTGTAAATTCGCGGTTAATTAGTTTTTGAATGGTATAGTACGTTTGTCGTTAAACAAATTTTGGATGTGTTCAATATTTTTGGTTGCATTGTCAATATTGATTGAGGGTTCGTACCTTTTGTTTTGGGAATATGTTACAATGGTTCATTCATTATTTTTTGTATGCACTTGATTTTGGTAATATGGCTTTATGTATCATTCAGTAATGTCAATAGGAAGTTAAGGTCAGTAGGAATGTTGGGTGACTAAATGTGAATGTAAATGTTAATGTGACTGAAAATGTGAAAGTGAATGTGAATGTCAGAAATGATGTTGGTTGTTCATTTCTAATACCCAGATTGTGATTGTGAATGTATGACAGTGTTTGGTACTTGTTTTCGGGAGTTGGAAAATGCAAATGTGAATGTGGTTGTATAAATGTGAATGTGGATGTGAATGTCAAGGTAAATGTGAACGTCAGAACAAATCTTGGTTGTCCATCTATAATTCCCAGATTGTGATTGTGAATGTATGACAATGTTTTGTACTTGTCTTAGGGAGTCGAAAAATGCAAATGTTAATGAAAATGTTAATGTGGTTGTGTAAATGTTAATGCAAATGTTAATGTGATTGTGAATGCGAATATGAATGCAAATGTGAATGTCAGAAGGGATCTTGGTTGTCCATCTCTAATACGCAGATTGTGATGGTCAATGTATGACAGTGTTTCGTACTTGTCATAGGGAGTTTGAAAATGCAACTAAAAAGATTGAGGATAGATAACATGCTGTTTGTTGTTTACGTTCCTGAAATTTTATCTTTGGACGTTCAGGGAGTCGAAAAATGCAAATGTTAATGCAAATGTTAATGTGGTTGTGTAAATGTTAATGCAAATGTTAATGTGATTGTGAATGCGAATATGAATGCAAATGTGAATGTCAGAAGGGATCTTGTTGTCCATCTCTAATACGCAGATTGTGATGGTCAATGTATGACAGTGTTTCGTACTTGTCATAGGGAGTTTGAAAATGCAACTAAAAAGATTGAGGATAGATAACATGCTGTTTGTTGTTTACGTTCCTGAAATTTTATCTTTGGACGTTCACGTTACGTGTCGATTGTGGGTTGTTGTAACAAAATTTGACTTCCCATGTATGCTTTAAAGATTATGAAGGTGAATGTATTGGAGTGTTTACTACTTGTGATAGGATGTTGAGCGTTGTGGGTTTTGTTAGATAGATGTGGTTCAGTTTTCATTTACCAAATGTGACTTTGTCTGTAGATGCCTCACATTTTGAAATTGTTATTCACTCAATATGTATGATGGCACATTCACGTTGGGGTGTGCTTTGTCAATTTAATCTACCAAGAATATGTCGTAATTTAAGATTGATGAACTGGTTGCAGGATAACCTGTGTCACACTGAGAGAATAACACCAATGTGACCTGGCTTCAAAAACTATGGCTTGTCACATACAAAGCCAGCGTGCAATGCAATACCCAAACGTGTTTTGCTGGTTTGAAACATACAATTGCACAAACAAATAAATAAACATGTAAACCTAACATATGAATGAAAGTAGTGTGAAGGAAAAAACCAACTGAATGATCACTTATAAATAATGTGTTCACTTATTAAAATTTGTCATCATTTTGTTTCGCTACATTCTACTACGATAATACGATGTTGCTATTCAAAACTGATTATAAAAGTTTCCCGCTAAATGTCTATTACTAAATTGGTTCTTTACATGTCTTTCGATTGTGGTTGCCCATGTAGCCACATCGACCACACCTGATCTGACTTAGTTTCTCTCCCCGAGATGGTGTCCGATTCTTCTTCGGTCGCCTGGAGGACGTTTAACTGCCAGTGGATATATGATAAGTCATCTTCCGAGAAAAAGGGTTTGTCAACAGTTGGTATTCGCTAAATGTATCCGAAAAAAGCTGCTTTGTACTGATCGACAGTGAAAAATTGTTCAACACATGTACTAAAATCCCTTCCACTATTCTATATTGCAACCACCACATGTGCACCTAGGAATCCATTCAATTGCCACTGGAAACATGAACATGAACGTTTGCCAATGTCTACCAACACCGTTGGAAATGAATAGACATTGTATATGTCTTCATTTGCCTTGCTAACAATCCATGTGCAACCATTGGAGTACGCCTCCCTAACACGACTTCCTATTTTTGGACAAAGTAACCCATTCCAGTTAGTAGCCAATAATTTACACTCAGCCCTCATAGTCATTATCTGATTTCTGATTGTATCAACCAACCTTGTGATTGGGTAATTACGGGGTATCAAGTATCCATTTATTAAACGACTCTGCAGCGTTCGAGGTCATCTCCCCATACCGTTTTCCCCTGATGACATTTTGAAAACATAATGAAAATGTTATCACATATTGGGTACTTTCAATGTTATCACATGTAAGTATTGTACAAACCTAAAATACGCATTGGCCCAATGGTTCAATGGCATGTCTTCCAAGAAATTATTTATTCTAGATCGTCCTGATCTTTTTAGCTTGGTCAAATGGTGTTGAAACGAAGCCTTCGTTGGACTATATGCTAATTCACGCAACTTGGCCATTAAACCAAAATAGACACGGTTGTCAACCCATTGTAATTTGTCCCTCAAATTTACTTGGAGATGTTGTAAGCAGTATGCATGGTGTGCAGATGAGGATACAGTAGGCAAGCATTCGAGCAAGCCAACATTACGATCAGATACGAAAGTTAATGTGCGAGCACTACTGACAATGTTTGTCAAATGCTGTAAAAACCAAGTTCAATTTGCAGCCATTTCGGAGTCAACAATAGCAAAAACTAATGGGAATAAACCTGGCAGAATTGACAAGTTTTATGTTAGATGTGTAATATTTTTAACGAAGTTTACGTTCACATTAACAATTGTTCAGAATTCAAATCGCACCATACACAATGATAAGAAAATAACATTAAATTGGAAACAATCTTGCCATTGGGGATCACCCATTGCTATAGTGGACTAATAAAAAATGTTTAGTCACAATGTGATACGTTACTATATGAAATTTTGAAGTAATCATCGTAAGACACGTACCTTTGTTGCCATCCATCCCCGCTGCTGCAAGCAAATTGCCTTTAACTCTCTTTCAAAAAAGTACCATCAAGAAACAATAATGGGCGGATATGGTTGAATTCGTCAATGCAAGATTTGAATGATATGAAGAACCATTTAAATCGGCCAGTTGACTGCTTAAAATCCAAGTTGACATAACTCCTAGGGTTGTACTGCATAATTGTATCTGCATCCCACCTAAGTTGATCGAATGAAACATGATAGTCACCATACACTTCGCCTCTTGCCTTCTCCACACCTAACCAGGCTATGTGGTAACTAACATTCAGTTCGTACTCCTTTTTTAGGTCAAACACGACGTCAGTGGGACATGTAAGCGGCTTATCACATAACCGATCACCAATAACATTGCAAACTAGTTCAAAATTGAGTCTACTATTCTTTCCAGTGCGAACAATAGCACCACAATTATGCAAGTTGTTCAACCTCTTCAAGTAAAAGTATCCATTGCATGTTTGAACCCTTCCATGTATCAACCATGTACACCCTTTTTGCTCTCGTAATGTGCACACAGCCGTGACCCGCACTGAATCGTTTTTCACAAATTTGAAGTCAAACCCACACTCAATAGCATATTTGGACAGAACCAAATGGAAAGCAGCAACACCCCCTTCAAAACATTGGCCTACGTGACTAATGCCGTGTGATCAATCAACAATCATTAACGTTTTCTTACTATGGCGACAACAATTGGACAACAAATCTACATTAGTTTCAAGACCCAATAATTGTTCAATGTTTGGATCCATTTCATTTGCGGATATAGTCCCACTGAATTGATTACCTTGAATCAAATCAACCACCTCATTTTACGAGTCAGTCGCAACGTTGATATGGGTAACGCCAATGGGCCTTGCAATGGAAAACATGTTTTCCATGTCCACATCATTACTTATCATGAATTGGTTCTTGTGACAAGGTAGTTTGTAAGATATGGAAATCGATGATGGTGTCACATCCGCCCACCTGTCACATAAATTTTCAACCAATTGTTTGAATGTCAATCCATTAACACCCTTGACAACAACAGTGGATGAACCGAAGGTGCGAAATAGCATGATGTCCATATCCTACACAACAGAATAAATGAAACATTAACCGTGTCACGACATTCTACAAAAAATCAAAAAAAAAAAAAAACAAGGCATGGAAGATATGTGATATGTATTTTAATGTAAGCGCAGTAACGTCGACATCGTACAATGTGGCTAAACCCACATTCAATTACAATCAACGATAAGAAATTTTGCAGCTGAACAATAACAACACAAATTGAATAATATATAATGAAAAGTAAGAGTAACATTAAAATGCATTCCAATACTTTCCATCAACCAACAACATTGTCACATTGAATTGAAAAAAATATAAACCCAATAAGTTTGCGAAACGTAATGTGACAGATATGTCCACAGTAAATACAACAATGTGATAACACAATACAAAAACCATGGTCATATGTATGTGTATGTGAGTTACATTCACATACATTCCAATACTTTCGACGAACAGGCAACATTGTGACATTGAAATGGAAAAAATAAAAACCCAATAAGTTTGTGAAATGTAATGTGACACATATGTTTTCAAAAAGTACAACAATTGCAAAACACAAACTAAATACAAAAGAACGTAACACAAACCAAAATTGACAAACATGGCAGGTGTGGTTTAATATTACAACCTGAATGTAACGGCCTTCAAGGTTAACGGAATTGTGCCAATGTATGGTTGTACCATTTCGCACAACTCAATAACATTCTCACATTCAAATAAAACTTAATAAGTGAATGTAATGTACTTTTGCGAAGTGTAATGTGACACGTATGTAAATATTACAATACAATAACGTTACCACACAAGTTAATACGTGATTACCATTACAACCGAAATGTAACTTCAATGGAGGCTAATGAAGTGTGCCAATGGATGGCTATACCAGATTGCGAAATCTATTTCATAAATGATGAAATTGAAAACAAAACAATCAGGAACAACACAGAGCAACACTCACCAATTGAAGAAGCAGACAACTTTATCTCCTTCCCTCAAAGTCCAGATTGGTAAGATCACACAATGAAACCATCCAAACCAGTAACATTTTGAAAACCCACCAACCTCCGCGATCATGGCACATATCACAGAACCAAATGAAGCCTACACAATAAAGATTCCTAAAATCTCCAATAAATAATACGGTTCATAACTTATAACATGGAAACATATATAAAGGGTATAATAGTACACTAATACCATTTAAATACAATTTATAGGACCTTATGGAACACTTTCTAATTTAAATAGGACTTCAAACTATATAAGAAATTACACAGGACTTTACATTACATAAGTCTCCTTAATAGGACTTATAAATAATTTTCCCTATTATTTTTGCGCTTAGTATTAGTGGAATAGAAATATAACAACAAAATCTATCTTCTAAGGTGTGGGATTCTTTATCTCAAAATCTCTCTTTCTCCTTGATTTCATTTTCAAAATTTTATTTTTGTTAAAAAGTCTTTTTAAAATTTTAAAAATTAATTTAGTGAAAAAAATTATAAAAAAAAGTCATTATTTTTATATAATTCTCTCTTTTTTGAAAAAAAAAATATCTTCTCTCTCTCTCTCTCTTGTATATATTTTCATCAAACTATTTTATAGAATTTTAAAAAATTCCAAAAATAGATTTTGAAAGCTAAACACTCTCAATCAATGACGGAACTAGAAAATTAGGTGAGAGGGGACATTTATAATTATAATTTCAATTTTTCTCCATAATCTATAATAGATAATAATAAAATTTTGAATAAATGTTAAGCACAAAATCTTAAATATTTAATACAAAAAAATTTAATATATTCTTACAATTAACCTCAAGGAAGATTGGAATAAAAAAGATGGTGTTTCTTACAAATAGTATATTATGGATAATGTCTCTTATAATAGATTATACAATACTAATATACTTTCCTCAATTTTTGTTAAACAAATGAGAAACTTTTAGTATAATTGTAATACGACATCACCATCAATCACTAACCAATAGTAAAATTAACAATCGAAAAACTTCCACATCTGCATAGTGGGGTTAACTACGCCAAAATTGGGCTTTAGCGGCGGTTTTTTACCGCCGTTAAAGGCTGTAAAACCGCCGTTAAAGCCTTTAACGGCGGTATTAACGGCGGTTTTCTTACCGCTGTTTATGCGCGTGTCGGAAAAAGTACAACCGTCGTAAAAAGGTAAATTACCGTCGTTAAAAGTCGACCAAAAACGGCGGTAACATAGGACCAAAAACGGCGGTTTTTTACCGCCGTAAATAGGTTCAGATTTTTCAAAAAATAATTCTTTCTTCTTGCACTCCCCAAGTCTTGAACCCTCAACCTCTCATCCACCGACACAAACCACTCTACCATAGCCACTCTTCATGAAATATATTCCCTAAATAAATATTTAAACATTACTTTTACTTTATTGTAGATGGTTTCGCAGGAGCACGCCGGAGTTTCGCCGGCAAAGACCGCTGTCATTAACGGTGGTAATGATTGGGCATTAGCGGCGGTTTTGTTACCGCCGTTAAAAGTGGGCATTAACGGCGGTTTTTTTAACGGCAGTAACAAAACTGCCGTTAATGATACCTTTAACGATGGTTTTCGTTACCGCCGTTAATAGTACCTTTAACGACGGTTTTCGTTACCGCTGTTAAAAAAACCGCCGTTAATGCCCTGTTTTGGCGTAGTGTATGTTTACATGTCAATAATACTGACATCATATCACCACTTCAATAATATTTTTCACAACATTTTCGTACGTAATAAGTGGCTTGTTGTGGTCCATTCATTTTCAATGATAACAATCACCATTGTTTTTCATAATTTTAAGAATGTCATTAACAAATCATTCTAATTGTTATTTCTAAATAAAAAATTTTGCAAATTATTTTCCGTATAACATATGTATAAAAAAATCCAAAATTGAAGGGGAAGGGGCGCGTGACGGAAGGGGCGCGTGACCCCTTGAACCCTTCATAGCTCCGTCACTACTCTCAATCACACCATCGTACATCAATATCCTCATGCTTTAAGATTCTTATAACAGTATGTGGCTATGATTGCATTGGAAATAAATAAACATAAATTTAGAGAACAGATGATTGTAATATACACTTGGCGTATAACCAATGTTTATTTGCGTTATTAAGTTTTGTGGAATTATGAGTGTAGCTAAATCGAGTGATGAAATTACTAGTGTGATGATATTAGATTGAAAATGAAATTGTATTTATTTATGCACTGGTGTGGTAGTATTAATTAGTATGAAATTATATAAAAACTCTTATTATGTAATAGGTGATTGTTATTTTTGTAAAGTAAGAATAATAAAATCTTTCCACCTCAAATTTCACAGGATTAAACCCAAAATTCCCATCAAAATGTTAATCTCATCCTTAGAAGGGTTTCATAATCTTAATACATTAACATTTTCAAACCATATCATATATCATAATTGCGTTAAAAACATAGATGACTAATGGAATTCTTAAATATATAATTCTTACAATTGCAGTAAATTTCCTTACATTAAGGATATGCTAACATCAATACTTAATGAATATAAAATACAAAAATATTAAAATATGTATAACAAAAAATATAATGTTCTTAGCATTTAATTCAAGAATCAAGTGTTGGGATATATCGCCTTATTGAAGTGTGGGACCCAATTGGTTTGTTAAAAGAATTCTAATTTGGTTTGGTTTGGGTATAATATATTATATATATATTATATCTAATTTATGGAGACCCAATCCAATTTGGTTGCAATTAGGGTTTGATTACAAAATTCAAAATTCAACAATATATATAAATATATTGTATTTGTTTTCCGAGGCACAGAGTAGCGGCTGCTTTAACAGTTTCGGTGCTTATTTGTTTTGGGTGGAAGCTATAGATTTGAGATGTGCTTGCTGGGTTAATCACTTGGTGAATTCAAAGCTTGCTAACTGTAGACACCCTATTTTTGACCGACCTTAAGACTTAGACGTCACCAGTTGAGCGCTTGGTGATATTTCATAATGTGCTCGTTCAGAAGTTTCAGAGTCGCGGCCGCTTTGGTTCAGACTTAGAACCGTGACAATTTTGAGAGTCCTTGAGCTGTAGTGACCCCAAATGAACGGAACGGGAGCTCGTTCCTCCCGGGAGCGTTCGGGGACGTCTACACTAACATAAATTTTGTGGCTTTATTTCGGCAGCGTGCGAATTGATTTGGTATAATTATTTTGGGTCTTTTACAACTCTGGTTCTGAAGATTTTGGTTCATCTATTTGGTGAGGTCTTTCCTCTTTGTTTATTTGTGATTATTTAGAATTCACCTAAGGGTGGTTTTGTGAGACCATTTGTGTCTCGTTTGTAATCGTTTGGAAACTTATTTGGTTGATAGTGGAATCGGATTTCGATCCCGTGGACGTACCTTACATTGAGGGAACCACGTAAAATTCTCGCATTGCTTTTGATTTAATTTTTCCGCATTAATTTTTATTCCCATTGATTGATTTACTTTTGGAAAATCATATATTTTCACTAATAACTGGTATTAGAGCTTACGGTTTATTTGGGTTTATTTATTTGTGTAAATTAATGGTGGGAAATGTGGGTCGCATGTCTAGCTTCAATGGAAGTAATTGGGTAACTTGGAAAACTAAAATGGAGGACCCATTATTTTGTAAAGATTTGTATGGACCCATTGAGGGTGA